TTACTGCAGATTTTATGCATTTTGTTTTAATTTAATATCCAAGTGGTTTGTTTCAGCAGGTAAAGTCAGGAAATGTGCAAATTGAGCTTTTGGGCTCTGATGCTACCAGCTCTAGGTACACATTGGTAGCATGTTATTGCAGAGAAATATTACCTCAAATCAATAGAGAGTTTTGTTTTAAATCTACACATAAGTGATTTATAGTTCAATTTAGGGTAGGATTTGTTGTAGTTTGCTTGAAGAGTAAAGTGATTGTGTATGTTCCCTTTATTCTCTGGTAGAGAATGAAAAGGACTCTTTTATTTGTTGCACAAATAAAGATTCATCCTGATTCATCCACTGAACATGGAAGGGCTCTTGCCTTGGGTGTCTGTAGTTGTCCCCTACCTGATCTCAGGAATGGTTTAGGTCTCAGAATTGTGGAAGTAGTATAATAAGAACTGTTCTTCTCCTGCAGCATGGGAAGGGAAAAGAGATGATAGTTACAACTCCTATCCAAGGTAAGATGAGTCGTAGTCTCTTCCCCTCTGAACTGAAGCCCACCTGAAATGGGGAACCTGTTGGAAAGGCAGTGTGGAGATGTAATTAGTAATTGTGACACAGTAAAATCATGTTAGTGGGTGAATGTAAGGTTACAAAAGAATAATATAGGCTCACGTTTCCTAGCTTTAGAACTGTTCCATTTGCAGTACAGTAAATTTTTTTTAATATCATTTTAATGTGTATATATTTGAGTACTAACCAGGTTTTTAAATTCAGTAATGTTATTTTATAATTCTGGCAAGGGTGAATAAAGCTTTTGTTTTGTTTTTGTTTCTCCAATATATTTGAAATTGAACTTTGTATCAAAAATAAGTAAAACTTTAATCTTTATCACAGTATTGCCCTATAGTGGGAACAGGAATAAGAATAAATCAATATTTATCAATATTTATAAAACATTTATTGATACTTGTCCAAGTAAGTATTTCTCTACTCAAAAAGCGATTTATTGTAGCTGTTGCTGGATAGGATGGCCACTGTATGCCTCAAGATGATCGGTATAGCAACAGCTTTTACGTAGTCGCAGCTGTTGAAGGAAATAGCCTCTTCAGCTATTTCAAGGTCATGATTTTCACATGAAGAGTGTTTTTTTCATTTTATTCTTACATGATTAGGGAGAAGTATAAAGAAATTGGTTGGACAAAAGCATTATCTGATTTATCTTCCTTATGTGAAATGCAGCCCGAGTTGTTGATTCCTATGTATTTGTTACTGACATATGCGTACTGTGCAAGCCAGTCTTTTAAAGAGTCACAGAGCAATGGAAGAGCTGGTTGGAAGGAACTCTGGAGGTCACCTAGTTTGATTTCCTTGTTACAGAATCACAGAATGATATGGAGTTGGAAGGGACCTCTGGAGATCACCTAGTCCAACCTCCCTGCCAAAGCAGGTCCACCTAGAACAGGTTGCACAGGAACGTGTCCAGGCGGGTTTTGAATGTCACCAGAGAAGATGACTCTACCACCTCTCTGGGCAGCCTATTCCAGTGCTCTGCCTTCTACCCTCTTTTACCCTCAAAGTAAAGAAGTTCCTCCTCATGTTTAGGTGGAAGTTCTTAGACGCAAGTTTGTGCCCATTTCCTCTTGTCCTATTCCTAGGTACAACTGAAAAAAGACTGGCCCTGTCCTCTTGACACCCATCCTTTAAGTATTTATAAGCATTGATCAGATCCCCCCTCAGCCTTCTCTAGATTAAAAGATCCAAGTCTCTCAGCCTTTCCTCATAAGAGAGATGCTCCAGGCCCCGAGTCATCTTTGTGGCCCTCTGCTGTACCCTCTACAGCAGTTCCCTGTCCTTGAACTGGGGAGCCCAGAGCTGTACACAGTACTCCAGATGGGGCCTCACCAGGGCAGAGTAGAGATAACCTCTCTTGACCTGCTGGTTACACTCTTCCTGATGCACCCCAGGATGCCATTGGCATTCTTGGCCACAAGGGCACATTGTTGGCTCAAAATACATTGAGCTGCTGTCAGAAACATTACTTTCTCTGCCAAAGTAAGTAATTTAATCCATTTTAAATAGTCTCTTTACCTAGGATTACGGGCAAAGGAGCTTTAGCAGACCTCAGGGGAGTGGTTTGAGAAGTTGCCACTCACATTTGATGTCTTTTCATCCCCTTAATGATTTTACACTTCGTACATGCCCACCTCAGCCCGGCAGTCGAAGTGACTGCTCTGTGGTGGCACGGGCAAGGTGTTCACATGGTTATGCTACCTGTGACAGGGCCAGCAGGAGGTAGCTGGTAGAGGGTGGTATCCCTTACCATTGCTGCTGGTTTTGTTGAATGTGTCAGCTTATGGTCTGAGGATTTAAAATAGCAGATGTCAATAGATTTTTATCATGGAAATCTGGTCCTTTCCAAAGACTTGACCGCCTAAAGAAAAGTGAATAGGAATATTTTTAAGTGCTAAAGTCAGTTTGGAAACTGGACACAGGTGCAGCTACATTGTCTCGGGAATACTAAATAGAAGTTTTCCTTTATCATCTTTGGGGTTTTTTTCCTTGAAAAGCTATTAAAGAAAATTTTTCTTTTAAAACGTGGCAAACGAGAAATACTATTTTTGGAAAACCAGGGAGAACTTTTTTCCAAAAGAGATTATCAGAACTATTGCTATAACTTCTTTTGAATTTCAGTTTAGCATAAGGATGTTTTTAAGGTTGAAGATGAGTTTGCCAAAGTTAGTTTGCTGCATATATTAATTCTCTCCCATTGTGCAAATGTCTGTCGTGTTTTCTTATTTTTTGGTATGTGATGTGTGCCCGCACCATGAGCCATCTGGTCTATAAAGTCACAAAGTGGGAAGGAGACTGTGGTGCTGCTCTGTGCAGATATATTCTTAGTTCATGGCAGATGTTAGCCTAGGAGTTGTGTCTTAGAGTATGTTCTATACTACATATAGTATATGTATGTTCTAGCAGGTATGCTTTATGATAACCCAGATGTCATACTCTAGTTTCAAAGACATTTTTTCCTTGATTCGGTTTACACAGAAGGTAATGCTTACTTTCAATGTGCTTCTAATCAGGATATTTTTTTAATTCTTGTTCTGCTTTTTATCCCGTATCTTCCCTGCTACATGCTTTTCAGATGCTGCTCAGAGGAAGAAATATTTACTTTCTTTTTTTGATAATTAATTGTAATTCTTCCTAACAACTTTTCCCCCCTTTTCAAAAGGAAGTATTGGGGATAATAGTTTATTTCTGTTGAATCTGCTATTTTTTGAAGTACACTGGATCATACAGCACCTCGTGCTGATGCTGAAAATACTCAAGTAAATATTTGCTGAAAAGTATGTTGAAAATATTGAAATAAAATGAAAATACTCATTTTAATCATATTCAAATATTTTTTTCTGTGAAGAAGAAAGACAGCCTAGCTGCCCCATGTTTTTTATCCCTTCATGTTCTTGCCAGATAAAATTATTTTACAGGGCTATAACAAGGAACCACTGTATGAATAGACATCTTTTTGAGTCAGTTTGTCAAAAAAGCTTGTATTAGGTATCTTCTTTAGTTCATTAAATGGGCAGCGCTGCTGTCAGCAGAAACATGTTTTCCATGCAACCTGGATTCATAAAATGTTATAACAAAAATCCTGACTTTTCTGCCCATTGTCAAAAATGTTCAGGTCACTGTTCTAATAAATATGCTTCTCTATTTTATTGCTTGTTCTGTAATGTGAAATCTGTGAGTGTTTATTTTTGGAGATCGAGGTCTCTAAAGTTTGTTACATGTTCAGTATGTGGAGTTTCAAATCTAGATCTTTCAAGCCCTGTGCTCTCTCTTTGTAAGTGTGTTTTATGTCAGATTCAGGTAAGATGTTCAGGAAACTCACAGTGTAATAAACTGAAATTAGGATGGTGTAATAAACTGAAAAGATAGATGCCTAGGCATCTATCAGTAGTTGTATGTATATGTATGTACTCATTTGCAGACAGAAGCACGCATCTATTAGGAATAAATGAAATACAATTCCTGCCAATATTATTGTTGTTAATATAGATATCAAATCTGCCTATGTTTGTGTTATTACCAAGTGCTTGTAATGATTCTATTTGACAATGAATTCCACATACTATATGTGATTATTTTTTTTCTTTTAAATGTGAGCACAGCGGTAATCTTGGAATGATGATTTTGGTCTGAATGAATAGGTCACAAGTGGGCTTGTTTCAGTTGACCATGTGAACGTAGAAGTAAACTCATAAGAAACTCCATTATCGGTCTTGGTGACATAACTACTTGATTTGGGAAATGTACGTGGAAATGTATGTGAGTGGTGAACCCTGATACTATAGGCAGTAAAGCACTTGCCTTACCTTCAAGGACGTTTTTAGTTACATCCATGTTCCATGGATGTATATCCATATAGACAGCTAGGTGTAAAGGCCATTATCAGAAGGTGTTTGCTTTCTGCTAAAATGTTAGGTTTTGCCACAGCCGGAAAAAAGAGATCAGTAATCTGATTTCATTGGTAACTGAAGTGTGTTCATTTGAGGATTTCAAGATACTGCTTGTGCTTTCAGGGTATTTTTTACTGTCAGATACAGAGGTCCCATGCCCTAATGTGTGGTTCACTTTACAGTGTCAGAGAGCAAATCTTGCAGGTAAGATGCTGTATTTTTTGAGTTTGGATTTCACTCCTTTCAGAAAAGTGCTGTGAATGTTTCTTGTATGACTTAAACATTTAGGTGGTATATTACAGGCATTGCAGTGGGTTTGTTCTTTTTTTCCTCCTTTTATTTTCCTTTTTTTTCCCCCCAAAAAGACTGCCCTATACAGATACAGAAACTTAATGTTTGCTTTTGCTGAATCTAGTTCTGATTCATCATGTTTACGTGGCTTACTGTCAGCCATCTGTTAGTTATAGTTTAACTTTCAAGTCTGTATGTAATTTGGTTTTATTAATGAAGTACAACAAACAGCATTATGAAGCTTTTCTCTTTTAATCTTACAAGGAAAAAAATCGGTATCTAAAAAAGCAATCACAAAGAAGAGGAAAGGTGTCACAAAGTCTACCATACCAGAATTTCAGGTAAATTATTTTAATTTTTGTTCTAAGCAGTTGAAATCTAAACATCTATAAAATAAGTTCTTTAATTTCTGATAGAGACCTTGGAAATCCTAATCAAAGATTTGTTTCTTTCTTCTAGTCCAAAAGGTTAAATCTGATAGTGCTTTTAAAAGTGTGTTTTACCTTTTCTTGGTAGAGAATGTTTTAGCATTTTTTATGTGCAGCTTACACACTGATTAGCATTATTGTTCAAGATCCCAGGTAAATCTGTTACAGGACAAAACCTGAAAAACTAGGAGTTGTTCATGGAATTTTTAAGGTAGATACAATTTTCTGGGATAAGAGTACTTGGATTTTGTATGAGGTGTGACAATATGGCCCTTGAATTTAAATCTAGCTTGATTTACCTAAAGACTTGCAAAAAATTTGTAGGTTCCTGTGCTCATTTTGTTTGCAACTTTTACCCCTTTTCTGCACATGACCTTTAGACCAGAGAGCAGTAAGAAAAGAGTGCTAATTATGATAATGTGCCTTTATGGTACTGCAATAGAAGTGTTGAAATGTTAGAGTACTTCAGTTCTAAGTCACAGTTTATGCATGCATACCTGCTTGGATTGAAGTTGTTGGCTATTTTTTTAATTTATTTTTTTTTTAAAGCAGACACTGCTATTCTGAGCAATAGACCCACATTAAAACCCACTCTCACACTGAATCGGTGTTTTTTGTGGTGATGAAGTGTTTCAGGTGGAGCTAGTAGAATTTCTGGTGATATAATTGGTTTGTAACAGCCAACATTGAGAAAAGACTGATATTTAAGTGTACATGGACTTTTGTCTATCTTCTAATGTTAGTGACTAAAATGTTTCCTAGCAGCTCCAAAAAATAGGTCCAGTGCTTAAATTTTTTTTTTCCAGAACGTTACCTGCATGCCTTGGATGTACATGGTTAGGTTAGAAATATTTTTGTACATTTTTAAACTACTGCTTTTAAGTAGTCTGTTGAAAATATTACCTAAAACTTAGCCCAAATTTTTATCTAACCAGGGTAAACTACATGTACATACCGAGCTGAGTGTAAAATTAATGTTATTACATTTACCTATTTAAAATGTAACAAAATAATTCTGGCTCTTTTGGTCAAAGCTAGGCTTTATATCTTTTTTAGGTGAAGCTTAGATTGATCAGTATGAGCAGTTTCATCTTATTAGGAAGTTTTTTAACAATTTAACCTGCGTTTTTCAAGAGGACAAGCAGGACTGGTATTACTGTTAGAAGTATTTGCAAATATTAATACATTTACATTTGGAATACTAGGAAGTCTTTTAGAGCCTAGTAAAGTATGCTTCAAGATACTCAGCTCCACATACATGGATGCCAAATATAATACAATTCTGTAACGGTTTGAAGGTGAAAGTATATTTTTTTTAATATTTGGTAAGACAGCTTGAGTGTATACAGGTCATGTGAGGTATGCCAGGGAGAATATAACTGTAAGAATATTGCTATTCATATCTAAATGTCAGGTTTTTTGGAAAGAAAGTAAATAAATGAAAATTTGAAGGATGTTTTATGTGCCTGCCTCAGTGATCTCGGGAATGACACTAGGTTTTTATTTATTAATAGATTGACAAATTAGATTTCTTTTTATACTGATAAACAATTCATTTATAAATTCTGAGAAATGTGTCTTGGGAGAGTCCCAAGTTGGAATAGAATTTGGTCCCCATGTCTTTCCCTGCAGAAGTCAGGGGAGTTTTCCTGTCTTTCCTCCTTGAAGTTCCAGGAGTCAGTGAAGGTCTTTGAGAGATTACTGAGATCTGAGATTGTATCCTAACAGGAGAGTTGAACATCGAATATGAAAATTTACTGGAATACTGAATACCTGAGGCTTCCATTGTATTCAGTTGAAAAACAGGATGCTTGTTGCCTTTGAAAATTAACCTCATATGTAGTAAATACTGTGCCTGATGTGAAAATGTCTGTGTTGTAGTTAGCATGTACATAACTGATTTTGTGATTTGTACATTAATGGAAATATTTACAGCCTGAATCTTTAAGCCACCACATAGTGTTCTAGAGAATAGGGACTAATCTTTCACTACTTTGGATAAGCCAGAAGGAAAACATTTTTTTATCTTCAGATTCTTTTTCTCATGATAGGTGATTAGAAGGCACCTTCTTCGAGAGCAGTATGTGAAACTACCAGTGAGCTATCAGAATGTGACAAAATGATGAGATTATAACATTAATACCTTTCTTTTTTCCTTCATAATAACTTCCCTGTAAAAATGTGGAAAATAATTTAGAAAAGTCAGTTATTTTTGCGGAAAATTGAATTACTAAGTTCAGCCAATTAACAACCATGGGCAAATACATTAGATTATCATGAGAAATAGCAGCTAGATTCCATATGAAAATGATAATACAAAGTACAGTATACTTGTTTTGTTACTGCTCTTTTGCAGTAATAAAGCATCTCAAAATGCTGGCTTCATTCTGTAAGATGGGAAACGTTAACCAAGTGAGAGAAATTTTAGAAATAGCTTATTCCCAATCAGTGTGCCTCTTCAGTACCTACTACGAATGAAGAAGTATAAATTTCTCCTTGAACCTTTTTATAGTGGTTTTCAGTACAGTAGTGGAATATTTCAAATGCTAAATTTACTTTGGCAGTAAATACTGTAAGCTGAGATGCTGTTCCCTTCCTTGTTTACCAGTGAGTAATTGACACACAGATATTACACCTCTTTGGATGAAAATTGGGACTTGGAGATTTGATTACTTCTCCCTGTCACCCCAGTCCCAAGACAGCTAAACTATATATTTACATTGTTTTTCCAGTTGATGTAGTTTGGATTGATACACACTAACAATTTTGCAAATCAGATCCTTGTATCTCAAGTGGTTGTTCTGAAAATGAGAAACAGGACTGGGACCTGTGAAAATTTTGGCTCCATTAATTATCTGATGACATATAGGAACTTTTTATGGTCAAGTCAAAGATAGAGTTGATATTTCCAGGACAGCATTCAATTAACCATAGTGAAAACATCCTTCTACTTGCAAACTTGCCTTTCTAAAAGTGAGTTCAAAGAGAGAAAATGGAAACTTCTGGCAAATGAAGGCTGTTATCTTTCTTTGGTTCATAGTTGTGCTTTGTCTTTGATCCATGGTACACTGAATTAAACGTGTCTCATAGGAGAAAATAAAAGCAGTAATAAAATTTAAAAACTGAATTATCAGGTATATAGTCAAAGGAGTGAATTAAAATTGCATGGGGAAAATCTTTAACATGCCTTTATTGACTTTTGTCAAGGGCTTGATGTGACAAACTTTTACTTTCTTGTACCATAATACAGTATCATATATTTCTTTGCAGGATAGATGGAAAAAGAAAAGCCAATATTTGGCTTCCAATTTACATCTTACATGTTTGGAACTTTAAATGCAGGACAGACATGGATGTTGAACCCAGTAGAGTTACACATAGTAGTAAAATTTTCTGGGTTAAGAGTTTTTGCAAGTTTTCTTGCATTTCAATTCCCAGTGCTTTTAAATGTACAAAAGTATTAAGAAAATAATGGCATGTATGCATTAGAGTTTTCTGACTTTTTTTTTTTTGCTATAAGTGCCAGTAAAACAAAGGGGTTTTTTAAATATGAATTTGCTGCAAACTTAAACTTCATGTGTAATTGAAGTAAAAATATATTATTATGAATTACTGATTTGGGGAAAAATTAAAAATTAGCAGGTTTACAATAAAAGCATTTTTAGCAGTTTTGTGTGAGGTGGCTTTTTTTTCTATTTGGATTTGATTTTCTTAAATTATTTCAAAATGTTTTCAGTAGTAAGGAAAACGTTTCCACTTATGAGTGTTTGGAAAGAAGCAAGTCTTAAGATACGATAACCTGAAAGAACCTAACAGCTTATTAATAAGCACTTTATTAAGACTTTAATTGCCTTAAGTAATAGTGAGCCAAAACATACAGATTACTTTTGATGATTTTTTCAAGAAAATAGCACCTTTATTATGAAAGGAAAAATGTAAAAAGCTATTTTCTAAACATAGGAATAGGATTATATTATTCTTATTTCAAATGGTAGATAGGCAGGTGAATTTGACAGACAGGGCTAGGTTATCTTGCAGGAATACTCTGTGCAATTGTATAAAGTTTTGTTCAGGAAAAAGTTGTAGCAAGTGTAATTATGTTACCACCACAGCATAGACCAAAGCTAGTATACTTTAATTCACCATGGAGTTGTTTGGGCAGGTGAATTTGACAGACAGGGCTAGGTTATCTTGCAGGAATACTCTGTGCAATTGTATAAAGTTTTGTTCAGGAAAAAGTTGTAGCAAGTGTAATTATGTTACCACCACAGCATAGACCAAAGCTAGTATACTTTAATTCACCATGGAGTTGTTTGGTACTCAAATCTGTTCCAACTCATTACTCTACTTAAGACAATTTCAGTATTCACAGAAGTTTTAAGAAAATACTTAAATTTTGAAATGGAAGCTTACAGGCAGAGATACGGTTTATGTATGAAGAGTGAAATATTTTCTTACTAGACTTTCTTCCTTTCAAAACATCCTAAAAATACTGTAAGAAAATAAAAATCAAATGGTGCCACTAAGTAATAATATGTGCTGTTAGATTTTATTTAACTTCATTGAACATCTTCCAAGTCCCACATTACCAAGTGTTTGTGTTCATTTGTTTTTTAGCTTATTTGCACTAATCTTGATGAACTCAGGGAATTAATCACAAAGATTGAGAATGAACTCAAAGATCTGGAGGACATTAAAAAGAAATCGGTATGTGACATTAAAAGCTTTCTCTTGTATAGTGCCAGTTATTTGCTGAGGACTGTCAACTGAAGATTTTGTGCCTGTTTAGTAACTGCATGAAGACTTATCATTAGGTTGATGCCTTGAGACTGTAATCTTAATATTTTCTGTATATAGTGCTCTGTTGATGATGTTTTTATGATAAGTAAATTCAGTAATTGTTAACACTTTTCACTGCCAAAATAAAATGTGTATAGTGGTAATGCCTTAGAAGGAGTAGTTAATTTCTATTAAACATGTGACCATTCTTACCTGAGGACAAACTCTTACCCAACAAGCAATTACAGGATAGAGTTCGCATATCTGCCGATGCCCTGCTGGTTGGATCCTCTTGTGAGCTGACTCTTATGTTGCTCATCAGGGTTCCTAACTACTTTTTGTTGGCAAATAAGTTATTAAAATTGGCTTTGTTTAATTTTATTCAAGTAGGTCATAGAAGAGAGCATGCTATCTGGCTTTTGATACCAGATTGAGATACAAATTTTACAGATGTAGACTGGATCACAGCCTATGCAGGTGAAAACCTCAAAGAATAATGGTTAGATAAGAGAATCCAACATGTTTGATGTTTTGTATGAAGGAGTAATTCTCATCAAGATTGTGGCTGGTTTTAAATATGTAAATAGTATTAATTTAAATCACTCTCTACAGCCAGTTCTTCTTTTTACTTCTTCTTTGCAATTTTGTTTATTATACCTTTGGTGGGCATTTCTGTGGTATTTCTGTGAGCAGTAGTAGTTACAAATGTTGCTTTTTCTATACCTTAGAAATTAAAAGTTTATATAACTTAGGAAACATGGCTAATTTCCATTAATTTCTTCAGTCTCATGTAGAAACAATTTATTCTTAATTATTTAAATAGGGGAGAGAGATATGGTAGGTGACAGGCAATATAATTTAGGACTCTGAAAGACGAATTCCAGTGCAGACACTTAGGATAATAGTGTTAAAATACCCAAAGAAATCAAAACAGACTTAACTTGCAATTATTTTGTAGTTGCAAAATTGCAAGTTGGTTTTATGGTAAGGTTGTCAAGAGATTATCAGAATGCCTATGTCAATGATAGAAGAAAATGCCAAAAATGAGAGTACACATGAGTGTATCAATAATCTTAGTATAGGTGAGACTTTTAGTCTACTAGTGAAACTATACCAACAAGACTTCTTCAAGGGTAGACAAATGCTAAATATGTCATAATTGCTCTTTGAACTGAAATCTGATAATGTCATTATGTAAATAAGTTGCATGACTTCAGCAGGAATACTATGTTTAGTTCTAATCACACTGTCTTAAAAAAACCAAACACTTAAGTAAAGGGGAGTTAGGATACAACTCATTCAACATTCAGAAGTTCTGAGGTAAGGACAATCTTTCTGTGTGCTTGTATAAATCTAACAGATCATGATTCTGCATCTCTAACCACTTGTGTTCTTAGCAATTTTACGTAAAGAAAAAAGGCTAGGATTAATTTCTGAAGAATTGATTATAAGGAAACATTAAAGTGAAGTATTGATTTTTAAGAAGTAATTATCAGGCAAATTTCATATTCACTATTTAAAAATACAAATTGCTGTTAAATTAGATGAATAGTCATTAAACTTGATGTGATAAAATGAGGTTTCATTTTGCAAGGGAAGTAATTAGAATTTCATTTTTGATATCTAACACCATGTGTAATTAGGTTAGATATCTTAAAAACTGGAGGAAATGCAGATTTTCACTCTTCAGCTCTGACACAAATGACAGCGGCAGTTTCAGAAGCATCCAAAATAGTTTGTTTCAACTGAAGTGCCTAATCTGTTAAGTAAAAAATTGTTGTAATGTGGTGGTTTGATGAAATTTGGCCTAATGTGAAAGTTTGTTTTAATATAATGGCATTCATTTTGATGCTGTTCATGGGCTTGCTTATTGTAACCCAAAGATGATGGTGTTCATAGTACTTCATTGTAATTTTATTGACTTTTGTTTGCAATAGTTACCTAGTGAAGCCATATGAAACTTTCTTCATGACTAACCTGCTCAGTAATTCCAGTTTTAGTAGTTGTTAGCACATGCTACTGAGAGGAACCCTCGAGGCAAGCTTTAAAGCTTATGTTAAGTACTAGCATATATGAGATACAATATATAATACAGCTTGTCTGATTTCTATTAAGACCTTAAAGTATAACCTTTTTCTTAGTCCTAAACGCCCTCTGTTTCCTAAGATACCATTCTAGAGTACAATAAAAGGAATTCCTTCTCCAGAACTTCAAAGTACTAGAGGCTTTAATGAAAAAGCTGAGCTGTAAGACCTGAGTACACTTACTGTTTTCCCACATTTTCTGTAGGTAGTTTGACTGGGTGTATCTGACACTTTTCAGAACGTCATCTTGAGCCAACAAATGATGACAGAGATTTTTAGCCTAAACAAGTTGGTTTTTTTTACAAGTTAAAAGCAAATTAGAACAGGGTTATGCAATGGAAAGCCATGTATAATATCAAGTGTCGCCATTACTAGCAGATTAATTAAATAATGTGTTGGAAAGGATTTTCACTGGTTGATTAAAACAGTTTGGCTCTGTACTCTTTTGTACAGCCATATTGTCTTTTGAATTAACTATGAGTAATACTTTTCCATTTAAAACTTCTTGTAGTTTCACTTGGTTAATGGTGAGTTTTGCCTTAGCGCCAGTTTGTCATAACTGTGTAGAGAGGAAAATGAAATTTTACCTGTTCTTTAATTTTAAACAGAAGTTCAACTCAGTATTATCTCTTCCCAAATTGCTTCGCTCTTGAACTCTAGTCACAGTTCTGAATCAAGACATCAATTTCACATGTGCTTTCAACTGACATAAGCAAAAGCTGCTGCCAAATAAATAGCTTCTGCTCTCTGTGTCTTTAGCAGCTTAAATTTTCTGTGCCACCCCATGAGAGAGAGGGTAACAGAGTTCTTTGTTCAACAGCATGGCGGGAGGATTAGTCTGTGATAAACCTAACTCTTTTTTCACTGCTGCTGAGGTGTTTGTAACGCAGGTCAGTTTTCTAGTGCAATTTATCATGCAGTTGCACAAATACCTGTGCTTGTGTTCCTCAACAGTTTGAGGGGTCATTTTAAGGACAGGAATAAGCATCTGTGTCAAAAAAAGCAGGACTGCTTTTGACAGGAAGAATCCCATTTGTGGCAGTTGTACATAATACTGCAATAAGCAGTGCTCTAGAAGGTCTATCCCGTTAGCTACTACGCAGTTCCTCTGTTTACTGTCTGCTACATTTCAAGAGGGAGAGTAGAGAATAAGTTAATCAGATTTACTCTTTATTTTAGTGCCTGACTGGACGTCAGAAAGTGGGAGATGCGGAAAGCAGACTTGAAGGACTTCAGTCTAATGCTCTGAGCACTTTCTAGTGGAGGAATGTCTAAGCTAGAATGTCATCTAGCTTTGGTACGGTCCCTAGGATGTGTGAAGTTTAAAGCAGTGTGACTAAAAAGTAGAGTAAAAATGGAATTAGTAGAAAAAAAACCAAGAGAATTTACACTGACATGAATTAGATTCTAGTAAAAATTCTGTTTTGTTGCTAATACATAGATAGATGTGGGGAACTTACAAGCAGTCAGTAGGCAATTATAAATCTGAAATAGAACATACTGGCTAAAATTATGTTGAGATTTTACTGCATTTTTACCTCATTTGCTGAAAATTTAACACTGTATATATAAGCATGGCAGTTCAGTTGAATGGCAGCTCTTAGAAATTTGCTATAACTTGCAAATTGATCAAGACATGTAAAGTAGCCTAATTCCACTTAAAAATCTACTTGAAATGGTTTTGATGAAAAAACGATTTTGACAGACATATGTGGTAGTGAAGCATTTCACCAATATATATAGGATAACATAAAGACTTCTGTCTAATATATGGAATTTCTTTTATGAGAAGAGATGGTAAAATAGCACCTTCTGTCCTGATCAGTATGCAAGATAACAACTATCAGTTTCTGACATTTTGGATCCCATTTTTCCTTGTTGTCTTCTGTGTCAGGTAAAATCAGTGGGAGTTGCAGAATGAATGGAAATATCTTTACTGCCTTTCAGATAATCAACACTCTTGTGAACCAAAGTCATTGGGGTTTTGTGTGAAATTGTTAATTAAGCTATTCTGTAGCTCAGTTATATGTATTTAACTCTTGCATATCATAGCAGAACTTGATTATTTTTTTTTAATCCCTTCTTGCCATTGTGTAGTATGAAACTGACAGGATGAGAGATACTTGTATCAAATAGTGAATTTTGGGCTTTTTTGCAGATGTCATTTTGCAAGGTGACTTTGTAGTGAGCATGTTTATTGTAAAATGACCTGGGTATTGACAAGGACAGTTAATTCTAGACCCTGTCCTGACTATGTTAAAGCATGGATCATCTTCGAGAGAACATAAACATTGAAAGATTCCTTATTTACTGAAATGCAAGACTTTTGGTAGTGTCATTGGATTGGAATCATTCCCTGCAAGTTGGATTGGTAAGTGCATAGCTGTCTGAGGAGTGAGAAGACAAGCTGGAGCTCAGGATCCCCACAGTGAAGCTGACAAGGTTAAAATGGGTAAACAGCAGTGCCTTCCCAAGAGGAGCCCAGACTCTCCCTAAGGGAGAGAAAAATCAGACAAAGGTGAGGGGAAGGAGAATTGCTTAGTCAAAGGACCCCAGCCAAGTTCACAACTAATTAGGGTTTGGAGAAAATGCAATGAAGATTTTATTGTTTTGCAGAGATCTGTAGCACACTGACAGTCTTGATTCCTGAAGGTTTTAATTAGACAGTTGTACTTCCAAAGACAGGTAAATGTCTTTTTCTTTGCAAGTGGATTTGTCTTTTAAGCAGGGGAAAGGATGAAAGCAAATGGAGCTTTTCAGAAGCTCTAAGTCCATATCACCTGCAGAAATACTTATTTTGGAACACACCTGAAAATTTAAAGTTAAAAATCTGTGGTTTCATCC